CCCCCCCCCCCCCCCCCCCCCCCCCCCCCCCCCCGCCCCCTCAGCCCCTCCTGCCGATCAGCGCCTCCTCGTGCCTCCTGCCTGCCGTGATCAGCTGTTTCACAGTGCACAGGAGGCTCTGGGATGGAGTGGGGAGAAGCAAGGGTGCAGCAGGGGAAGGGGCATGGGCTTTGGGGTAAGGGGTGGAGGAGGTTGGGCCTGGGGTTGAGCAGTGGAAAGTTGGCACCTGTAGCGCCAGCCCTGGAGTCAGCACCTATGCAAGGAGCCACATATTAACTTCTGAAGAGCCGCATGCGGCTCCGGAGCCACAGGTTGGCCACCCCTGGTGTAGAATTTGCCTGAGTACACAAACATGACTTTTAATTCATAGCAATGAGTGTAAAAATAAAACTTGGGGATGGTCTTCCAAGCAAGTTCTTTTTGAATAAAAAATTTTTTTTTTAAGGAAAGACAAACTTCTGGCTGTTTTCTGGCCAAGAAATACACATCTGTTCATTCTAGTAGTTGTCATTATTCCTTTGAACAACTTAACAATTGTAATGTGGGTATTTTGATAGACTGAACATCTTGTGTTGAAGAGAGCTGACCCACTCTCCTGATAACATTTTTTTCTCAGAAACTTAATAACTTAAATGGCTTATGAAAATGTGAGTGAGAATTCTAAGACCATTAAAGTTAGCTTATTCTGTACCATTAGTTTGTAGCAAGTCTCCGTGGTGGAATTATTTCCAGATATAAGTGATCTGATCAAATTCACCAGCTTTAATTGGTTGTTAAAAGTAAGCATGAATGGCACACCGAAAACACAACTGAGAAATGAATACTTAAAACTTCAGTCTTGCCCTTTTGTGTTTAGTACTGCAGCTCTTTTGGGATGTGATGGTCTACTTTACCAAGGCCACTGCATTTGCTAGGTACTGCTGGGAGGGATAAAGTGAATGGCGCATCTAAGTATCAGTTTCACAACTAGAGCTTTTGGCAGTAACACTGACCAATTTTATTTATTGGTGACCAGCTCAAAGGGTCTGAGCAGTGTAGAGGACTAGATCACTATAAAACCCTCCTCTCTGTGTGTAGATGGTTATAGGCAAACCACTGTGAAGATGGGCTCAGTGGTGGTCCCTCATGCATGTTAAGGTGTCCTAGGTGCTTTACTGAGGGAACTTTAAAGACTGGGGGGCATTAAAGGAACATGTGACAAGTCTAAGCATGATCTGTTAATGGTATGACTATAGTCTTTTTTTAAAATTCTATAGCCCCTAGTCGGTCTGTCTCAGCAGTTCATCAATAACTGTCTTCTGGTTAATCAGGTGACCGGGCACGCAGGTCCCCTCGGAAACTTCCTACTTCTCTGAAGAAGGAAGAGAAGAAGTGGGTGCCACCTAAGTTCCTGCCACACAAATATGATGTCAAGTTGCAAAATGAAGATAAGGTGAGTTGCCTGTACGAATCTTCTACTACACAGTGTGACGGAAAAGGATGAAATAAATAACCCCTATGCGCCATCAAGCAGCAGTGAAGATTCCTTTAACCACATGCAGTATTGTATAGAAATGTTGTCTGAAGCCTTGGTGAGTAAGCTGGCTGTTAACTGGCTAATCCCTGATCTGTCTGCCAATTGGTTGATGAAACCTGGCCAGTGATATACAATTTTTTTATTAAAGCTAATGTAAAAAAATATATATAATACACAGGTTAAGAAAAACGTGGGTACATGTGGGCATAGTGCTTAGATTGTCCACAAATACAAAGTTTGTTTTAAAAGTCATAAGATATATATATATTAGTACATAATCAGCAATAACCTAAATTTAGGTGAATAAATTTAACAATACCATTAGCATCCAAATATTCGGGTACATCAGTGATAAAAAGTTGTAGAGATTTCTTTGTGTAAAGCGAAATATATCAATGAGTGAAGATTGTCCCTCAGTAATTGAGAATTTAGGGTGGGTTGTTCATTTAGAATATACTTTCCTAATGGATTGTATTTCAGTTACTTTCCCGATTGTGCTTCTCATCAGCACTCTAGCTCATCCCTCCTGGTATTGCTTGTAGAAGTGGCCAAGAGTAACTGCTTATATTGTAACTGCATCTGAAGAAGTGGGTCTTTACCCATGAAAGCTTATGCCCAAATAAATCTGTTAGTCCTTAAGGTGCCACCGGACTTCTTGTTGTTTTTGTGGATACGGACTAACACGGCTATCCCTCTGATGCTTATATTTAATCAGTGATATTTTGAGAGTGACATCATAGCTAATTACACTTCAGGAAGCACTGTGGTTTGCAGCACTGCTGCATGCTTTCTATCAGCTGTTCACTAGGTGATGTAATCCTGATAGGAAGGCACCAGTGACTTCAAACTAATGATTACAGCTTGCAGAGTAACTCCCCTGGTCTCAAAAAGATTTTGATAAACTAGTCTCTTTTCTTTAACCAAATATTAGTGATTGGGCGTTGTTGCCAAAACAAAGTAATAGACTTTGGCAAGGAATCCGCAATGTAAGTTAACATTTCAAATACTTCGGTGACAGTTTTTAGCTAATTAAACATCCCACCAACTTCTCTCAACTCTCAGTGCTACAGGTGCTATTAGTTCTAATCTGAGGTTGCAATAGGTGGTGGTCACACAAAGAAAGGGGTGGATGCCTCTTGGCTAAGAGGTGATGTAGTGTACCATACCTGTGCTCTTGTGATGTGTGTTGTTTGAGAGAATATATAAAAATTGAATGTTACTAATCTGTCTTGATGTGATGTTTCAAAGATCATCAGCAACGTGCCAGCAGATAGCTTAATCCGTACAGAGCGACCACCCAACAAAGAAATCCTGAGGTATTTCATCCGCCATAATGCACTACGGGCTGGCACAGGCGAGAATTCTCCATGGGTGGTAGAAGATGAATTAGTGAAGAAGTACTCCCTTCCCAGTAAATTTAGTGACTTTCTGCTAGACCCACATAAGGTAAGAACGCTCATTTAAAAATCTGCTTGCAGGGTAGGGCTGGGGGTGTGGAAGAGACACTGGCCAAGATTTTCAAGTGAATAATAATTTTTTGGAGGCTCCAAACTTGAGACATCTTGTAGGGGCTTAGTTTTCAAACTGAAAGCCCTGCACTTTCTGAAAATGAGCTCCATTAAGGCAACTGTAGATGAGCACCTAAAAATAGTCATCTTTTTGAAAAGACTGGCTGGAGTGGGTTTAGTTGGGCTACGGGAGGTCTTAACCCCTCTTAAGGAGTCGAACTAGGTGAGAAGCCTGTAGTCCTGGGGTCATCAGGTAGAATTAACTTCAAACGAAGTCTATTGTAAATTGCGTTTCTCCTTGCCAATCAGTGGCAATTATATAAGGAGCCCTCACTCTTGGACAAGAAGAAAAATAAGTTTAGTTGGACACAATATTGTCAGCAACAGATCAATGCAATAAATGTTGCTTTTTTCTAGGTGGTCACTCTCGACAATTTTTTTTTCTTCAATCCCCCTAGCCATCCAGAAAACATACTTGTTTGTGAAACACTGAAGTGTAGAAAATTTGGGTAAAGGAGACCTACAAATACTATTGTAAGGCAATGTGTTTATTCAATTAACTTATTTCATGTAGAGGTTTTTGCCCTGACACAAGACACTGAAAATCTAGTGGCACAATTACTATGATTGCATTTTCTTTGCCTTAGACAAGCAATGTAAATCCCGACTGTTGAAGCTAACTTGAGATGTCAGGAGTTTACTATATAGGAGAAAACGATAACCTTTGTCCAATAGTGTGAATTACTGAATCATTTATCTGGTTATCGTAGTTTAGAGATTGTAGTTGAGATATTAAATATTTTGGTTTTATAAATAAATAAATTTAAATAAATTGAGATATCCCATCTCCTAGAACTGGAAGGGACCTTGAAAGGTCATCAAGTCCAGCCCCCTGCCTTCACTAGCAGGACCAATTACTGTTTTTGCCCCAGATCCTTAAGTGGCCCCCTCAAGGATTGAACTCACAACCCTGGGTTTAGCAGGCCAATGCTCAAACCACTGAGCTATCCGTCCCCCCCCCCCCCTACAAAACAGTTTTGTAACTGTTTCCATAGTCCCTGCAGAATTAATACTTAACTTTCATATAGTGTGCTGGATTCACAGATCTTAAAATACTTTACAAAGGAAGGCCAGGATTACCCCCTTTTATAAGTGGGAAATTGCAGTTTAGAGGTGAAGTGATTTGCCCGAGTGCATTAGCATGTCAGTGGCAGAGCTGAAAATAGGACTTAAATCTCCCAGTCATGTGCCCTACTTTTGGACCATACTGCCACTAGAATAGATAGATAATCTATTCTATTATCGTGTTATCCTAGATCGGGGTAGGCAACCTATGGCATGCGTGCCAAAGGCGGCACACGAGCTGATTTTCAGTGGCACTCACACTGCCTGGGTCCTGGCCGCCTGTCCAGGGGGCTCTGCATTTTAATGTAATTTTAAATGAAGCTTCTTAAACGTTTTAAAAACTTTATTTACTTTACATACAACAATAGTTTAGTTCTATATTATAGACTTACAAAAAGAGACCTTCTAAAAACCTTAAAATGTATTACTGGCACGCAAAACCTTAAATTAGAGTGAATAACTGAACACTCGGCACCCCACTTCTGAAAGGTTGCCGACCCCTGTCCTAGATGCAGGCTTGCCATCCCTTAACTGAGGGAGCTACTTTGGGCAACCCTGTGGCAATTATCACATATACTGAATATTCCACATAGCAGTGATAAAAGGGGCTTTCAGTATTGAGGTTAAACAAGACTCATCCTTCACCCCCAAAAAGGCTAACTATTGCACCATTGTCTCAATATACACCATATTGAAACCCTGCTGGAGCACGGAATCTGCCCTTGGGAGGTGTGCATGTTGGGAAAGTCCTGTTTTTTTCCTTTATGGAAGAATTCTAGCATGGTTCAAACTTAGTAAAACTGCACCCTAGAACAAAAAAGGATTTCCTTACAACTTTCTACCTGCCCTAGTAGGATGGCCCCGTGCTCTAGCAGGAATATTTAGGCTCACATAGAAGTCTGGTGTATTTAAAGGAAAGATTAATATAAAATCATCAATATGCAGACTGCCTCTTAATTTGCTGTAGTATTTGGGGCATTCAGTTACTAAAAATACATAATTAAAAAGTATTTGCTGACCACCCTTAAATGCTTTGAGTATTCAAAGCACCGAAGGAGGCATGCTATCAATGTAAAGAATTTTATTGTATTTGCACTTGCAGTGACTTCTCTACCCTGCTGCAAGTCTTTGGTAAATAGTGCATTAGCTGTCCCTAGAACAAGAGCACTGTTTTTATGAAACTCTTAGCCCTGGTCAGCTTGAGATGGTATTTGAGCCTGAGACACCAGTGTTGTGCCTGTACCCTGTCAATGGAGGGCCTATAGTACATTCTTGTTAACAAGTGTAGCAAAAAACTTGCAAATCTATTGTAATCAGTTTTACTTTTGGGGGGAGGAAGCTGCTGTTACTTTCATACCATTCCCTGCCACTTCTAGCTAATTTCCTATTAGGAAACAGTAAAACTGAATCTGTGGGAGAAGCTGAAAATTGTCTTATATTTCACTGTAAATATTTAGGGAGTCCTGACCTTAATCAGGTCCATCTGTTGACATGTTAGAGAATTTTTGTCATAACAGCCAATTTCTGGTTTCTTAGAACTTTTATTGGCAAATTCTAAAGAGAAGTGGGGTAGCATACTGTCTGGAGAGCTGGCGAGTGAAGACAGGACATAGGAGCTAAAGTTAAATATCGAGAGCTTGACAGGAAAAAAAATTGTCAACATTTGACTGCTCTTACTTCTCAGAAATTTCCCCAATATAGATTTGTTCTTTTCTTGTAAAGAAATACCTAAACCATATGATGATTTGACGGACAACTTGTTGCCAAATGTAACTACTTAACTGATTTTTTTTTTCTTTTTTATCTATAGTTATGCAAGTACAAAAGAGCCTGCAGGGACAATGTTCTCCTCTGGCTTGACAGTTATATCAAAGTATGGAATAGAAACTTTTTTGATCACTGGTCTTGGACCAGTGCTTGGGGAAAGTTTACTAATCCTAAGAGCATCTGCACGGATACTGCCAAAGTAGAGTTAACCCTGATAGGTTATGAAAGACTGGACTTTCTACTGTGGGTTGTTATAGTAGTTTGTAATCTTGTAAAACATCTTAATAGTCCCAGAGAATGTAAAGTCAACATTTTCACCTATGCTGTTTCCCTCTCTGAAGTCTGCAGCGTAAACATACCTTCAGTAAAACACCTGTGACTGGCCCACGTCAACTGACTCGAGCAGGGTCTGCAGGGCTATAAAATTGCAGTGTAGCTGTTTGGACTGTGGCTGGAGCCTTGGTTCTGGGACCCTCCCCTCTGGCAGGGTCCTGGAGCCTGGGCTACAGCTAGAGCCCAAACGTATACACTGCAATTTTATAGTCCTGCAGACCTAGGCCTGCAAGTCTGAATTGGCTGATATAGGCTGGCCGTGGGTGCTCTTTTCAGTGTAGGCATCCACATGACACTCAGGGTATACCGTAGCCATTTCCTATGTTCAAGAGGCAGAATGTAACTGACTTAAGGGAGGAGTAAAAGCAAATGACTGTTCCCCCTGTAGCTTCTCTTAAGTGGAAACAAGAGCTGCTTATGTCAGCTGAATGGCACTAAAGTGCCTTCATTGCCCTGTGGGGTAGAAAGAATAACACTGTAAGGGCCTGGGAATTAATGTAGTAGTTAAGGTTACTTCAGAACTTTCATAATCACAACTCTGAGAATCTTTAGGGAGGAAGTTTTCCATGCTTGGCCTTAGCCCAGAGGTAAATTCAAACAGTTTTAAAATCTGAAATTGGTTTGTCCTCCAACAATCTAGGATTAGTTCCTCAATTCTGCCAAAATAACTTTGAGTTGTCAGCATGTTCAACTGGCACACATGCTGCAGTAATATCGAACATAAATGGTTATGAGGGTTATCACTAATATCATGCTGAAAACAACTTTCTCTGTAGGTGGTCTCCTGCAATGTTTATATGCTGTCTTCAGTGGAGCTCTCTGCAATAAGGACCCGAAGGGCATTAAAAGAAAACTAAACTTTCATTAAATGGTTAATCTTAATGTAGTAGTAAACATTCAGAAGTCAGGAAATAAGAATGCTAGCATTGCTATGGGAAACGTAACTTGATTACGATGGGCACATGTTTACTATATCTGTTCTGAAATATGTACCTTATTATAGCAATTATTAGAATGTTGCACATCCTGTATCTTTTGTTATGCTTGACATGACAGAATTTTTTACTAAAACCTTAACTTTTTCACTCTCTGACTTCTGATAGTTGCAGTAATATTTATAACATGAAGGTTATAAATATTATTGCAGGTCTTCTGTGTTATTTTTGAGTTCTTGAAATTAACCCATCCGGTGCTCATGATGCACGTATGTCACCTGAATCTCAGAAATGCTGAGCACCCAAATACCATTGAAATCAATAGGAGCTGGAGGTGATCACAGCACCTTAAAAATTAGGCCGCTAAACTACCACTGTGTAGTCCTTTATTGGACCAACTTCCGTTGGTGAAAGAGACAAATGAACTTTCACCAACAGAAGTTGGTCCAAGAAAAAGGCTTTGTCACCGCCTTGTCTCTCTAATATCCTGGGATCAACACAGCTACAGAAATGCTACAAACAATTGTGTAGTCCTATTGATTAGGTAACAGTCCTGAACAATAGAACTGCATTGACAAATGGATTGCTCCAAAGGCTAAAAACCCTCCAAATCGACCCCCATATCCTCAGGAAAGCCTTCAGAGCAGGCCTCCGAAACGGAGTCCTCTTTTTACCATACAAACTTGCAAGCAAACAAATGCATAAATCTGTGAAAACTAGAAAGCTTTTTCATGTAATGCAGTTGGAAGTAACTTTAAAACATCATTGTAGCAAACAAACTTAACAAACAAATTTGAAAGCTGAATGTTAAATCCTCCTAAGATGGGCTGTTAACTTCATAACCTGAGGAACTCTCTCTAGCAAATTGAAAGCCATTGCAGTGGTCTGTGTCCCTCAGTATGCTGTGTACTGAACTTACCTGTGAAACTGAACAGGGAACTTAACTAAACTTACCTGTTAAAAACCATTATCAGGGAAAGGTTCTTCAGACATTGCCCCTGCTTAGGTTGGTTTTATATTAATATATCTCTTCTTAAATTCTAGTACATGACTCTCAACCCTTCAACCAAAAGGAAGAGCTCTGGATCACCTGACAGAAAGCCCTCCAAGAAGTCCAAAACTGATGGATCTTCACTGGGCCAGCCACTGAGTCCTACGCTGTGGTGTCATGTGCATTTGAAGAAATCTATTATTGGCTCCCCACTAAAAGTGAAGAACTCTAAGAACCCAAAATCCTCCAAAGAGGAGTTGGAGGAGGTGATGAAAATAGTGTCTCCAGGCAAACTTGGTGCTGACTTCCACATTCCTAAAAGGAGCCGACTAGGGAAGGGCAGCGATAAATCCTTAGACAAGAAACTGAAAGGCAAAAGGGTCCTGAATGGGCAGAAGTCCCCTGGGAAATCAAAATCACCCAGGAAAGGTCTGAAGAATCCCAAGATGAAACTGAAACAAATGACACTACTGGACATGGCCAAAGGCACCCCTAAGGTATCTAGAACTCCTAAGAACTCAGCAGGGACTCCCAGGTCCTCCAGCAAACCCCAGAAGCATCTTCCTCCTGCTGCGCTCCACCTCATTGCCTATTACAAGGAAAACAAAGACCGGGAGGATAAAAAAAGTGCCCTTTCCTGCATCATCTCCAAAACAGCCCGGCTACTCTCCAATGAGGACCGGGCCCGCCTGCCTGAAGAGTTGCGTGGGATAGTACAGAAACGCTATGAACTCTTAGAGCACAAAAAGAAATGGGCCTCCATGACCGAGGAACAGCGCAAGGAGTATCTGAAGAAGAAACGGGAGAAGCTGAAGGAGAAACTAAAGGAGAGAGCGAAAGAGCGGAAGGAAAAGGAGATGCAGGAAAAACTGGAAAAGCAGAAGAGGTATGAGGACCAAGATCTTAAAGGAAAGAATTTGCCTGCTTTTAAACTAGTGGATACTCCAGAAGGACTTCCCAATACTCTCTTTGGGGATGTGGCCATGGTGGTGGAGTTCCTGAGCTGTTACTCAGGCTTACTGATGCCAGACGCTCAGTATCCCATTACAGCAGTCTCCTTGATGGAGGCTCTGTGTGCAGAGAAAGGGGGCTTTCTCTACTTGAACCGGGTGCTGGTCATTCTTCTGCAGACCCTGCTGCAGGATGAAATTGCTGAAGACTATGCTGAGTTGGGAATGAAACTCTCGGAAATTCCCCTTACCTTGCATTCTGTTTCTGAGCTTGTCCGCCTGTGTCTACGAAAGTCAGATGTGCAGGAGGAAAGTGAAGTTTCTGATAATGTAGATGAGAGCAAGGATTCAGCTACCTTTGAAGATAATGAGGTGCAAGATGAGTTTTTGGAGAAGCTGGAGACATCAGAGTTCTTTGAGCTGACCTCTGAGGAGAAGCTACAGATAGTCGCAGCACTCTGCCACCGAATCCTAATGACTTACTCTGTGCAGGACCATGTGGAAGCAAAGCAGCAGATGTCAGCTGAGCTTTGGAAGGAACGGCTAGCTGTGCTGAAGGAAGAGAATGACAAGAAAAGAGCAGAAAAGCAGAAACGGAAAGAAATGGAGGCTAAAAACAAAGAGAATGGGAAAGATGAGAATGGGGTGGGAAGGAATGACAAGAAAAAAATAGAGATGGCAAAAACAGAGCAACAGATGGAAATAGAGGCTGAAGATATGATCAGTGCTGTGAAAAGCAGGAGACTTCTTGCCATTCAAGCCAAGAAAGAGAAGGAGCAACAGGAAAGGCAAATGAGAGGTACAATACTAGAATACTGGAGTGTATGTGTGGGAGCGGGGGAATGGGTTACAAAGTAAATGTAGATAATTCAGTTCTCCATTTCCAATAGTATTACCTGCCCATGAGGGATTTTATGGCTGGTGTCGATTAAGGCCTCTAGTTCTGTTGATGTGAGGCATTGTGCAGCCTGCAGGATTTTCAAAGCCACAGCTATGTGGTGCTTTATTACTCCATTAGCTCAAAATTTGGTGTGCTATGTATCAGATCCTCTTCTTTCAGTTTTGCCTTTTCAGAAATCCCTCACAAAGTACCTTTCTAGTTCTCACACATGGGGAGGGTTGGAAAACAGCAAGTCTAGATGGAGTACAGGTGACTGGCGGTGCTACAGCCGCGCCGCCCGGCTAGAGCCAGCCATGCACTGTGCAACACAGAACACCAGGTCAGGCCGGGCTCTGCAGCTCCACTACCCCAGGAGCTTGCAGCCCCACTGCCCAGAGCATTGCGCCCATGGCACAGTGAGCTGAGGCTGCGGGGGAGGGAGGATAACAGGGGAGGGGCTGGGGACTAGCCTCCTGGGCTGGGCAGAACGGTCCTGCGGGCCAGATGTGGCCCGTGGGCAGTAGTTTGCCCACCTCTGCTCTATAGGCTCCATTGTAGATGATGAATAAGGGGAATAGAGTTTGAGGAATTCAGAAGGCCAGGTAGAGAAGCCTGGAAGGGTCACCTTCCTTGGGGCCACCTGGCCCAGGCCACCCCATACCTGGATCATAGAAGGAAATGAGAGCGCAGCTGTTAATTTTTATTCTAGTATTTATTTCCTTTTGTTTTATGGCGGAAGTAACAGCAGCTGAACACAGATGAAAAGAATAAAAATAAGCTCCTGTTGCCTCAAGCACTGATTTCCAAAGGTGTCAGTGATTGTAGTAATAAACCCTAGATCCCCAGAATTAATCCGGGTGTGGAGGCAGCTGTGGACCCTGTTTCATGCAACTTTCCAGGTCTGAGGAACCTCTGCCCCTCATGCCACTGAGTGGTTCCTCATGTGGGACAAGAACCAGATGAATCAGAAAATGGAACAAATTAATCAAAAATGGGAAATAGTGTAAATATACCATAGACACCATGCATCTGCTCCAGGGAGCTGTGCTAGGGTGGCCAGATCTCCGGGGGATCTGACCAGACCTGATTTCTGCAGGTGGGGGAGGTGCTGGGTCATCACCTGTGCCAGCCTTTACTTAGCTGGGGTCGCCTCCTATCTGCGACGGGTGGCTGCAGCTCCCAGCCCTGACTCTGTAGGCAAGTCCCTCCTGACCAGGGGAGAGGGGAAAAAACGAGGGCGGGGGGAGGGGAAGATTCCCGCACTCCTGCTGGTGTGTCCGTTTTTTTTAAATATTACAAAGTTGGCAACCCTAAGCTGCGCAGGGCATTGTAGGATCGGTGCAGGGAGAGCACCCAAAATAGGATTGTCAGTGTGAAAACATGGCACTTTTGCAACTTTCTCTAGTTCAGTCACAACTGTGTAATTGTTTAGTAGAGATGTAGCTAGGGAAACGCAGCATTGGGTTTCAAGTGGAAATTTCCTTCACCACCATAAAGGCTAGAGTTTGGAGAGTTTGTTTTAAATGAAACTGAGATTCAGCAGCAAATCAAACAGCCTGTTAAGGCCTTGTCCATATCTGTTGTCATCCCTTGAAATTCTATGCTGTCCCCGTAGGAGACCCCTTCTGGTCCTATGGCTTCTGCTGCTACCTCTGTACTAATGCCAAGCCTGCTGCTCCGCTCCCCATTCTTCAACAACCACTCTGATGTAATCTTTTGGTTGTCTCACCACTCTCTGAAACTCCATCTCTTAGTAACTGAACTCAACTTTCCTCATAAGTAGCCGCCTCCTGCATCAGCCTTGACAACTCCACTGTCCTTGCTGTCTACTTGCCTTGCAACCTCTCACCTTTGTAAAGTGCTCTATTCTGCGTCCCGCTTTTTGTTAGTCCTGTTGCTGCTGATTTATCCCTAAAATCTGTAGTAATAAAAAACAAACGGGGGTGGATTCTGTCACCCCTGTTTTAGCCACGGTTGTCAGTTTTAGGGTCAACATCTATAATCCGAGGAGAGGGAATGAAATCTTGTGCCCCATGAGGCTCCTATTCCTTGCTGACTGGTTCAAATCATAGAATATCAGGGTTGGAAGGGACCTCAGGAGGTCATCTAGTCCAACCCCCTGCTCAGAGCAGGACCAATCCCCAGTTAGATTTTTGCCCCAAATCTCTAAATGGCCCCCTCAAGGATTGAACTCACAACCCTGGGTTTAGCAGGCCAATGCTCAAACCACTGAGCTATCCCTCCCCTCCCTTTAATCCTAAATCCTACTTTATGAGGAAGCTGTCAACCAGGAGCCCTCTTTATGCTATGTGGCTTCAAACAGGGAAGAAAACCCGTTCGTTTTGTGGATGTTGAGTTTAAAGTAAAAGCTGTCTTCTAATGTGACTGTTTTTGGTAAGAACAAGTGTTTCTGTTGCTTGGTATATCTCTGTTTTTGAGTAGGAACACTCCTCTTCCCCCCCTCCCCCCATGTAAAATTTCGTGTTCATTATTAGCTCTTAATCTGAAAACCCAGTTATTAAACTGAGTAGTGTGTGAGTTATTTGAGCATGAAAAGGTATCTTGGATAACGATGCACTTCAGATGGAAAAAACTCAGTTTAAAAGGAAGCAGGAATGTGGCACATGAATGGAAGTCAAGAGATCCAAGTTCTCTTCTTACTTTGCCACAGGCAGTAATCTTAGGCAAATCACTTACGGACTCTGTTTCTCAATCATTAAAATGGGAATAATATATTCCCTACCTCATAACTGTGTTGAGCTTTATTCTTTATCATTTGTAAAGTGCTCAGGTATAGTGACGGATGCCATAGATGTTACCTACAAATGACTTTGCTCTTTTGCATTCTAATTTAAATGGCCCAGCTGGGCACTGGAAGTAACATTTTGCAGAGAATAGGGAAATTAAGTATTATTCTACAACTTGCATTGCTGTGTTGTGATTTGGAGGGAGTTACCAACAGGACAAAATCCTTGCAATCTGATCCGACTTCTTCTTTAAAAATGAGTTTCTATGCTTTGAGGAAAGCGACAGAAATCTTGAAGACCTCAAAGTGCAGAAACTGCTCTTCCCAGCATATAGGACTTTCCCTGTCCTTTCTAATCAGTCAGACATAGGAATTGACAGGACTTGAAAAACTTCCCAGGCATGTACTGGCCAGAGGGCAGAACCTACCAATCATACCTTGATATGGAGAATGAGTTGGGTGCCCACCAATGAGCTTCCTGGGCAATACTTTAGTGAGAAGTCCAGCACCCACCAGGGCTGCTGGGATTCTTGGGGACAGCACCCCTGTATGGGCTCCATCTGTTTATTAACATCTGACTGATAGGCACCTCATAAACTTGCTGCCTTTCCTGTCTTCATCTGACTACTAGAAGGGAGAGAGCGTCATCTCCCCACAAATCTGTTTCTCCCCCTTGCCCCACAGAGTATTCTGGCAGCAGCAATGAGAGAGTCTTCCTTCAAAATATGCCTTTCTCAGCTTTCCCAAACAGCAAAAGGTGAAATTGATGTCTCATTTTGGTGTCACTAAAGCCCATATGGTTCTGGGTAGCAGCAGTGAAACTGATCAGAATTGTAGGTTGCACTGTGTTGGTTGGGAAAGCTCTGAGCAGGGACAGAGGCACTGGAGCTGTCTGCAGGCTCAGGAACAAATTGCATTCATTGTATGTTCAGGTGCCATTTGGAGGTTTTCTTTGCAATCATAAGGGCTGGAAATGTAATTTTCTGAGAACTTAAATTCAGTAGAAATTGATGGTGGGGTTCTGTCACTAGCCATGACAAACTTCTCGCTTGTCAATGGTGAATGGAGTTTTCAAGCCATGATAGTGGTCAAACCAAATTAGTACTCCTAATCTGGTATCATATCAGCAGTTAAGATGCCAAAAGTAGTGCTTAAGAAGTACTATGCTGACTCAGTACAAAGCTTGTAGTAAACCTTGTTCAAGTAACTAGTGAGCTCTCGAGGGTATGATGGTAAATGGGATGGAGTGGGGAAGAGGATATGCTGTTAAGAAATTAGCAAGTGTCAAAGCTGACAACCTTTCTAGCCCAGGTGCAAGCCTCCCCAGTGAAGGTTCCCACATTTGAAACTGGAAACCTACTGGCATGCAGTGGAAACCAGAACCAACAAATAGCTTATTAGGGTTTTAATCGCTCTCTTTAAAAGGCCTTCTTGAGAACTGGCCCTGTGAGAAGGTTCTCTGAGTGTGCACTGTTCTTGTAGTCCTCGGCTAGCTGTTGGCTATTCTGTATATCTGTCTGCAGCACAAATGTAAGTTGTAGATCTTTTAAGTCCTACTCTCCACTGCCTGTAAAAAGGCTGTGGTGAAGTTCTGGCAGCTATACAAGCAGTAAGTGTACAGAGAATGAGGCTTCAGTCCTAGGTTTCAAAAGAAGGCATAGGGAAAGAGGACTGTAGCCTGCATAGAGTGGTGTGAGGAGCACTTCCAGCTGTTAGCAATATATGGGGAAGGTGCCTCCTGTGTGTTTGGAGGAGGGCTATTGCCCATCTCCCATTGTGATCCGAATTCCCCAGGTTGGCTTCAGTTGGTTCCAATTTTCTCAAGGATTTGAGCTCTTGCATTTAAGTTCTGAATCTACTTACTTAGATTTTTGGTCATGGATTGTAATATAACTTTGTCTTTGGGGTCTGGATTTCAGCTTAACTTTAGACAGATTCATTTTTGTTCCCTTTTTCTCAATACATCTCTTACATAGTGAGGTGGGCTTGTTCATCAGAGGCAGGTAAAAATGCAGGAGACATCTGTAAAGTACCCTGAGCCCAAAAGAAAAGCTTAAAGCCCTCTGACCTCCCTTCTTTGCCTTCTTGGCAGAAGTTGGTTATTTATCCTGATCATGAGATGAAATGTCTAAGTAAAGCTCTTGGGTATGTTTACACTGCAATGGGAGATGATTGCAGCTAGGGTAGGCATACCTATGCTAGCCTTAGTGTAGCTAGTATTTCTTACAAAGCTGTGAAGACACAGCAGCATGGACTAGCAATAGGAGTATGTACTCCTGGTTCTGGGTGGGCTTGTGCAGCAACACAGGCTTCAGTGTCGGCTGTATCTTCACTGCTCTTTTTGGCTGTACTAGCTAGATTAAAGATAGCATAGGTATGTCTGCCTGAGGTGCAATCGCCCTTCCAATTGCCATGTAGACATACCATCCATCTGCAGGAATCCTGCCACCTTTCACCATTTCATTCTGTTTGTGGACTTCCCGGGGGATGTAGGAGCTACTAGAATGCCAAGATTTTTGTCCTGACAGATGAGCTAAGCTTGCTGTTTTTGAACTCTTCTCCTGGCATGGCAGAATATCTGGGTTGGTATGAGTTACTAGAGCATGTGCTTGTCCCTCCTGTAGCCAGAGCAGAACAGCTGCGCTTGGAAACCTATGTGGCTAAGTGGGGCGTGCCTTCCAGTCTACAATTGTCCATTTGGTAGGAAGGCTTCAGAAAAGGTCCTTTATGGTGAGGACCTGAGTTGAAGCAGCTAGTCAAATGAAGTGAAGATGATGCATAAGGCCATGCTGAGGAACAGGAGAACAGAAAATAAAATACCAGTAATATTAAAGTCCTTCTCTTTGCCTCAGGCCAGCTCACCCTCCTGTTCTGGTTTTGTTCTGCATTCTTTCTCAAACTGAAATTAGCAGCAATTGAGCTTGAGGTTTGGGATTCTTTCAGATGCTGGATCCTTGAGCAGTTGTGTGGTCAGAATTGGGAGAAATTCTAGGGGGGTTTCACAGGGGGGAAAGGGGAGCAGGGTCAGTAGTAACTAGTGCATACTAGCTAAAGTTCACAAGCTATTCTGCAATTACTCCCCATGTGGACATTCCCGTTGCGCACTGAATGCCTTTGTGTGCATTAGCGTAATTTACTTTGGAAATGCATTAACAGAATTTACCAGTAAATTAATCTTCTTTCTTCACCTAGCTAATCAGCAAAATAGAAAATAGCCTATTGCAATATGTGGTGACTCTGATTACAGTAGTTTTCTTTTAATGTGTCTGCAGTAAAACTGGAGAAAGAAGCAGAGGAGGAGAGAATCCGGAAGCATAAAGCTGCAGCTGAAAAGGCATTCCAAGATGGGATTGCCAAAGCTAAGTTGGTGATGCGCAGAACGCCAATAGGAACTGACCGTAACCACAACAGGTAGAAGACCTAACCTTTAAAGCTTCCCTGTGCTATCTGTATCCCTTTAACTGCTAATGGTCCTGTTAGGTGATCACCTCCTTTCTGTTGGAATAGAATGTTATAAATGAATATTTAATGTATGAGATCTTTTGTACCAGTATGCAATGCATTACTGTGCATCGAGAACTTCGGGGCGGCCTACTGTAAAGCTAAAATAGAGATGAGACCATCTCCAAACTGCTGTAGTCTGGGGGACCTGCATCTCTGCGGGAGGGATGCATGACACTCAGTCTAACCCAGTATTTCTCAGTCTATTCAGGCTGGCACCCTTTATTCTAAATCAAAAACTTTTGTGACGACCCCTTGCCTCACACTTACAATAAACTAAGAGTAAAAAATGTCAGTGATAACCCTATGTAATTGATTTGTTTTGAGAGGCTGACAGGAAGTACTTCACCTTGAAAAGTAAGAGTGTGCAGGGGAATGAGGGAGCAAGAGTTTTCTTTGCTTTAGATTGTAATGCAATTTCAATTGCATAGTCTCCTGATTAGCTTTGTGGCTCGAGCCAGTAGTTGAAACAGTTGGCTAACATTATCAAACTGCTGGCAATAGTAGTTACCATTATTATCCTTCTTTCATTCAGACTTGGTGTATGGTAGACTCCTTAGAAAGAACTGAAGGATAGTTGTTTCATCTTGCTCATGCTGCACTTCTGCTGAAGATATAGATGCATGCACATATTTTAAATGCCTGCGGACTTGTGTTCTCTCCTCTCGTGTGTGAATGTATATGTATTTTTTCTGTGCAACCCTTGTCCTCCTGTGGTTCCTACAGTAATGTCTATGCTCTTTTCAGATATTGGCTGTTTTCAGATGAGGTTCCTGGCTTGTTCGTTGAGAAGGGCTGGGTACATGACAGCATAGACTACAGATTCATCCCTCGCCGCCAGAAGAAGGAGGAGGTGGTGGATGATGATGATGATGATGACTACTACCCAATGGGTAAGATCAGCCAACTTCTCTTGCATATCATCTTTTGTCACTAATGGATCCTCTTTGTTACTAGCTGGGGTCGAGGTGGATCGGCAAATGGATGACCATGTAACAGATCAGTAAAGGTGCTGCTCTTCAAGAGTGTCAGTGTGGATCCCACTGTAGATGTGCATGAGTCTTGTGCCTGAGATCGGAGTCTTTTGAATAGAATTGTCAAGGGTTGTGCTTGTACCTCGTGTTCCTTATTATCCCATCTGAGGGGGAGCCATGATCTGTCTTCAGTTCCCTCTTAACTCTTGTGGCAGTCAGGTGGAACCTGGCATGTGTCCAACCCACTAATTCTTGGCTTTGGTTAAATTTTCTCCAACTCGTAATAAAACTTTCAGCACTTTTCTGATCCACTGACGTCAGACTGAGAATGATATTGACTAATCTTGACTGAAATAGTCATGGTCAGACACTCCCCTGCCCAGGGCTTCTGAACATGCTGGATTCAAAACCTTCAGGCTTCAAGCCCTGTCCATCCTGCAATGCACTGAATCTATTGAAAAAATAGATGTGGGGGAGTGAGGGAGCAAGAGTCCCAAATACTGAGCAGATGTTTGGTGTGCCTTTAATTTGCCACAAGAACACACAAGTTGTGAGATGTGTGGTTGAAGCTTCATTTTCTGGAGCAATTTATGAACAGCTCTTCGGATTCTGAGAAGAACTCCAAGTTCTTAGTAGCAGACAGGGACCCCAAAGACCAGTACAGAGAAGATGGCACGGAAAAAGACTCTACTCCTCACCAAAGTAGACTCAACCAGCTCTGTAAACTCAACCAGCACCACAGACACGATCAGCATCTCTGGTACCAAAGTGCAGCTCTTAGAGGGACTGCTGTGAACGTACAAGCAGACACACTAGGAGGAGCTCAGTGTCTTCCCACAAGGATGGACCCCCTAAAGCCTCAGGATAAAACCACAAAGCCCCTCATGCGTTTAGGACTAGTGATAAGAAGGAACCTGTGGCACAGCCTCTCCTCCGGCAACAACTCTAGCTCTGGTGACGCATCCCTTGGTGGCAACACCTACAACTGAAGAGGTTTCTGGAAGCTCCAGGACTGTCATAGGAGCTGATGCATGCCCTAGTGACAAGAACTCCATGTATCTCAGAACCACCCTTAGATGATGTCGATTCCTGCTCTCCATCAAATGTGTTCTCACTGCCTTCAAGCAGAGAATCCTCTACTTGGAGATCTGTGGTCAATACCACAAAGGCATGTCATCTCTCTCTACAGGTCTCAACTGCTGACTCGTGAAGAATGGCACTGGACTAGCCAGTATCAAATAAGTCAACTGTGCCCTTATGTCCTATCACCATGGTCCTATTGGACTTCTGTGGTCCGCCATCACACACCTCTATAAGCCTGTCTCCACCGTATTTGAGGAAGAGATCGCTCTTGCCACCAGCATGTCTGGTCAGACTGCCTATGCTAGACTACAAGGAAGACAGAACTGGGGGCAGAGCAACAACAAGGTCCTGTGTCATCACCAAAAGACATCTCCTCTTCATCACCTGGTGAAGTGATATCGTCAGCATCAATACTGGAACCCGATTACTTCAAGTAATTCCAAGAGCTCCTATGAGAATTACTTAGATCCTGGAGAAACAGACGCTGATCATATTGAAAAAATATAAGTTGATATTTTGACAACTTTCAGTCCAGCCACAGTCGCTGTCCTCATAAATGACCAGGCTAAGGCCCTGTGGCAGATGCCTGACACAATAACACACACTGTAAAATGGGTAGAGAAGCAGTACCCAGTCCCTCAGACAGGGTTTGAATACTTCTTTGCCTGCCCTAGCCAGGGCTCCTTATCTGTCTCAAAAGTACAGGAAAAATCTACAGCAAAATGTAGTGCCCCTAAAGACAAGGACTCCAAAAAGGCTCTACCTACTTACTCCTGCTTTTCTGCAACTGCAAGAGGCAAATTACTTTTTGAGCTGGGATAGAGTGACGCCCTTTCTCTTGAAACTCCCGTGTGACAACAGGAAGGCACCCAGGGAAGTAAAAAAGGTAGGCCAGTTGGTGGCAATTGACACTTCCAACACTATGGTCAGATCTATGGCCATGGCCATGGCAGTGACAATGCACAGAACATCCTGACTCCAAGTATTGGGCATCCCTCAAGAGGTACAGGGTATGATTGGGGACCAGCCCTTTGAAAGCATGGAATTTAAGGAGCAAACAGACAGCTCTTCACACTCTTTTGAAGACTCAAAGGCTCCCTGGGTAGTGTCACCCAAGCTTCATACTGTAAGCCGTACCATCCTCAATCCCAGTTAAGACAACAAGCACCATGCTGTCATTCCAAGCAACCACCTGAGTGCCATGCCAATAAAAAGCTAAAGTATGACGGGGTCACCAGACTCCTCCTTCCTTGGCAATGTATCTCGCTCCTATGGCATATCAGCAAATTTGACAGGATTGTCAGGAGCCTCACCAGATCCAGTTTAGAGAGCATGACTTTCAGAAGCCATCTCGCCCCATTCCACCAGGGGTGATCTGCCATAACATTGTACAAATAGGTGCTAGAGGCCATTGCCCCAGCTTCCCCAGCCATCTTCAGGGACCCCTCTCATGAGAGCCTGCTACCGGCAGAAGTGGCCTTGCTGAATCGTCTTGGAGGCTGAGGAGCTGCCACCAGATTTCTTGGGAACGGGCTTCTGCTCCCAGTATTTCCTTATCCTGAAGAAAAAAAGGGGTCTTTGCTCTGTCCTAGACCTGAGAAGACTCAACAAAAACATATGCCATTTCAGGATGACAATTCTTGCCTCTGTCATTCCATATGTTTATGCTCAAGGCTGGTTCATGGCTCTCTACTTGCGTGATACATCTGCATACTTCTATATAGCTCTCTGTCTGGGCCATGGGAAGTACCCAAGATTCCGAGTGGGACCCAACCATTACCAATCCAGGGTATTTGCCCTTGGTACTCTCCACAACACAGTGTTCACAAAATCCCTGGCAGAGGTGGCAGAACTCTTAGGGAGCAAGGGAATCCATGTCTACCTATTGGCTGATCAGGGATAGGTCACAGCAGGAAATGTTGACCGCTCTGGAGTACATATTTTCCCTGCTGTCCCAATTAGAACTCCTTGTGAACTACAAGAAATAGCCTGTAACAGCCATGCAGATGATAGTTGATCAGATTGTCCATGAACTCTCTCAGGGAGAGCTTACATGTCGGGGGTATGTCTACAGTGCAATTAAACACCCGTAGCTGGCCCATATCAGCTGACTCAGGCTGCAGGGCTGTGAAACTGTGGTGTATGTATTCAGGCTTGGGCTAGAGCCCAGACTATGGGATCTTCTCCCTCGTGGTCCCACAGCCCAGGCTCTAGCCCTAGCCCAAGCCAAAACACTTCCACAGCTGTTTTTTATAGCCCTACATCCAGAGCCCTGGAAGCCTGACTCAGCTGATGTGGGCCTGCTATGGGTGTTTAATTGCAGTGTCCTCATCGGCAATGATCCCTCGATTCGAGGATGATCTCTACCACGGATTTACATAAGGGTCCTGAGATGTCTCGGGAGTCCAATCCTGGAACCACAGATCTGCCCGCAGTAGGTACAGACATTTCCTCGCAGGACAGCTACTGCGGGGAGAAAGTTATTTTTCCTTCCTTCTCTCTTTTCAGCTTTGAGGGCAAGGTGCTTCTCCTCAGAGCGGGCCACTGCCTGATGGAGGATGTAGCCCCATTGGGGTCGGTTGGTGGCTTGCTCCTCCCAGCTTGTGATGTCCACCTCAGTTTTCTTGAGAGACGCTTTCATTGTGTCTTTGCAGCATTTCCTCTGACCACCACAGGATCTCTGGCCATGGAGAGCTGAGAGTAGAGGACTTGTTTTGGGAGAAGAGAGTCTGGCATCTGTACACAATGTCCAGCCCAGCGGAGTTGGTGCATTAGGATCATTGCTTCAGTGCTGGTGACATTGGCCTCACTGAGGATGCTGGTGTTAGTGCAGCGATCTTCCCACTGGACGTGAAGGATCTTCCGGAGGCATCGTTGGTGGTACCTCTCCAGACTTTTGAGGTGCAGTTGATAAGGCATCCATAAAGGAGTATAGAGAGAACCTTTACCTTATAGACCTGAATCGTGGTGTCCTGCGGTAGGTCACTGTCTGTTGGAGCAATTTCCTAAAGGAAGCACTTGCGCACTGGATTTGTTGATTTTTCTGCGTTTTGAGAAAGTTGGCTACCGAGGTAGCAAAAGTGCTCGACTGTCTCCAAAGTCTGACCTTTGTGCGCGAGGATGGCACAGCCATCAGCATATGGAAAATCAGTAAGGGACGCCCTAAGGACACACTTCAGAGACCAGGTCTGGGGCGGCTAGGCATCCAAGCATCACCTGATCAAGAGTCACGGTCCCTCCCGAAATCCTATAAAAACTTGGCAGCTGGACCTGGAGAACATTTTGAAAGGAGGTTCCCTTCTTGACCCCCTTCCCTACGATGACTCATAGCAGATGCTTCAGGGACAGATTGGGGTGCCCATCTGAACGATCTCTAGATGTAAGGAACCTGGTCCCAGTGCGATTTGATGCTGCATATCAATGTCCGGGTACTCAGGGCCATCTGGCTAGCTTGTGTGGTGTTCCTGCACTGCAGATCCCTGCAGCCCATACAGATCTCTGTAAACAAGCAAGGATGTACCCTCTTATCTCCTGTCTGCCAGGAAGCCATCAAACTGTGGACCCGGTGGTATCCCCATGGGATAACCCCATTGACTCTGCACATTGTAGAAGCCAGCAACAACTTGGCTTCTTACACATACATGCAGGCACTTGAGTGGGCACTGCAGATGTCCATCATAAAGCCAATATTTCACCAGTTGAGGGCTCTCATGATAGACCCATTCGCCAGACAGGACAGCACCAAGTGCCCAAACTTCTGCTCCAGAGTGCAGGAGCATGGGCTGTTCACCAGATGCCTTCCTGCTCCAGTGGACTCCAGGCCTCCTATACAGCTTCCCCCAATTACCCTGGTCCCCAGGCTATCATCTGGTGGGACAAGGCCATGCTGATCCTAAATAGCTCTTTATTGGTAGAGGCAATTTTGGCTGTCAACCTTTTTCGCACTTCTATTCTGCCTCTTATCTGTCTCTGTCTCCCTGGATGTGAGATCCCAGCTCCACTGCCAGATATTGCAAGGACTGCAGGTCTGGGTGCACCTGACTGCTTGGTTGTTGGCTGGCTGAGCATGACAGACTTCTCAACAGGTTCAAGAAATCCTCCTACAGAGCAGGAAGCCGTCTACTAGGAAGACCTCCTTTTCCAAATGGAAACAGTTGTCCATATGGGCAATCCAGTATAATCTGGACCCAACTGAGGCTCCAGTACCAAAGAGCCTCCACATGCTGCATTTGAAACAAAGTCGATTGGCATTTAATTCTATGCAAGTCCACTGTGCAGTAGTAAGGATATGTCCTATTCCAATACCTCACCCACCTTGTGTCTCTAATATCCTGGGACTGGCATAGCTACAGCAACACTGCATGTACACTTCAGTACCGTCCTACTTGCTCTTCTCACATCAGACAGTACTGAGACTCCTCACAGGCTTCCTGCGTACTTATCCGTTTGTCAGAAACGTGACTCTTTTGTGGCATCTCAACATTGTTCTCCTGAAACTTATGGAACCTCCATTTGAGTCACTATCAGACTGTTAGGTACATCACCTTCCATCACCTTCCCATTAAGGTGGACTACTTGTTGCCATCACTTCAGCATGGATCAGTGAGTTCCATACCCTCATGGCTGGTCCTCCGTACAAAGCCTTTCACAGGAACAAGGTGATTTTAAGACTGCATCTTAAGCTAATCCTTAAGGTGGTCTCAAGTGTTTAATCTAAATCAGTTAATCAATCTACCAGTCTTCTTCCCAGAGCCACATTCAACATGCAGAGAGAAGAAGCTATATACTCTGGGTGTTTTTTGGAGCCTTGCTCTATATTATCTTAGCAGGACCAAACCTTTGATGTGTTCTCTTCATCTTTGTGGCTATAATGACCCATTGAAAGGTCCAACCATCTCATCACAGAGAATCTTAAGTGGATCATGGAGTGTATCTCCACCTGTAATCAGTGAGCCTCTTCCCTCCAACTGTCGTCAAACGCTGCCTGTGCTCTCATGGAATATCTTCAGTCTGCTTTAGAAACATGCCAGTCTCTGAGATTTGCAAAAATAGCAACTGAAGTCCGTAACCCACTGACTTGTTACACATTTCATTCTTGACGTGGCCGGTTGGTCTGATGCCATGGTTGAGAGGGTAGTACTGCGATCTTTGTCTAATGCTGTAGGCATGCCTTATTCCCACCATTTAGATCGTTCTTTTTGCCAGCAACCTACAGTGGGATTCCCATTGATGTATACTCAAAGACTGATTGGTTATCCTACAATTCAACATTTCAAAGAACCAGTTAGTGTGGATCCCACAACCTGGCTTCCAGCCACTCTTTTCAGAGTCCTCCGCAGCACGGGCGTTGAATTGCAAGGGAACTGAAAGAGGGCCACAGTCACCCTTGCCTCGTACAGGAGTATGAGGCGGTACAGGGCATATGCGGTGCATGTGCACGTACAGTGAGATCCACACTGACTACAGCATATCTCTCAGAACCACATAGACAGTGTGGTAAGAGCCCTGCTACATAAAAGCGCTCCAACAGAAAAGAAACAAGATAAAGGTGGGCTGCAACTGCCGGGATTCTAAATGAAACCAGAAATGAGGGGGTTGGGCCTTGTAGCTATAGAGCCTTTCCTGCGACTGCCCTAACTGAAGAGAACCTCGGGCTACTACTTCACGTCTCCATACACAACTGCCTATACCAAGGGTGGCCAAACTTACTGACCCTCCAAGCCGCGTACGGTAATCTTCAGAAGTTCGAGAGCCGGGCGCGCCTGTTGGGGCTCAGGGCTTCAGCCCCACTCTTGCTGAAGCTCTGAGCCCTGCCAGGCATTCCCCCCCCCCCACAGGGATGAAGCCCCAAAAACCCCCTCCTGCTGGGCAGAAGCCCGAGATCAACCACCCTGCCACAGGGCACAAGCCCAGAGCTCCGCCCACCAAGTCTTTTTTGGGGGGGCGGGAGGGGACGGACACCTCCGCAAGCTGCACTTTAACTGTAAGAGAGTCACATGTGGCTTGCGAGCCGCGGTTTGGCCACCCCTGGCCTATACACCTCTTGGCTCCTTTTGATAGCTTAAACGTAAGTATCTGGGATTCCTTAAAATAGCCACAGTTGGACTGGCCATTGCCTAGTGGCAGCCACTGTGCGGAGGTGGCTACTTCAGGGGGTCTGGTTCCCTGATGCGAAGCTGCAGAGATTGCTGCCATTTGCCTTCAGGCTAATCGGAGATGGGAGGGCAGAACTGAAATGAAGGTGCTTCCATTTTATTGGGAGTCAAGTATCCTCTGCCAACTTCAACTGAATTTCAGTCATTCAGCACTTCCTTGTTTATGGGTTGGTAGATGCGGGTTTGCTATAGAAGTGGCTTATTCCTCTAACAGCAGTGCTTGGCCAGAGGGGCAGTTGTGCAGAGCAGTTCTGTCAGTTTCCTCTAGTCCTCCACAAATGAGTAGCTATTCCATGGATTCTTCCCTCCCTTAAATGTTCACTCTTCATTTCCCTGGGAAACTACTAGAATGCATGTGTTGCATCTTCAAGAAGGCCCTAAACTAATTGGATGGTTTGCTGCTCTTAAAGATTACATGTAACACCTAAAATCTGATGTAGAGAATTTGTGCCTGACACTGCTCTCTAACACCTTGTCTAACAAGCGACATGAAATCCACTTGAAGTGGTTTTTCTTACAACAAAATAGCTCTGGTATATCTACACTGCAGTAAAATACCCGTGGCCTAGCCATGGCTGGCCAAGGTCAGCTGACTTGGGCACTTGGGGCTCGAGGCGTGGGGCTAAAATACGTGTTGTACACACTCAGCTGGAGCCCGGGCCCTGAAACCCTGCAAGAGGGGTGGGTCTCAGAGCCCAGGCTCCAGCCTGAGCCTGGAAGTCCGCATAGCAGTTTTTAGCCCTGCAGCCCCAAGTCAATTGACCTGGGCTCAGACTCCATGTTGCAGGTTATTACAGTGAGGTGTCCTTTCAGGTATGTCTACATAGCAGTGTAAACCTAATCTCCCCCTTGTGTCCCCACACCAGTTGTTAACCTAGGGCTCAAACCTAGGGTCCCAGGACCCTGCAGGGCTGGAGGGTCCAAGCCCGTGTTAAGCTGGAACATAGGGTCCAACCCCTATTGCTTTCCTGTGTGCACGTGGCCCCAGCTTGTCTCGGGTCTCAGAAGTCTTCTACATGTATCCCAGAGTTCTTTGGGGCAACTTCCTGAGTCCTCTCTCTGTGAACAATCTGTGGAGCAGTCTATTGCACTCTATTGGAGTGGAAGCCACACATCCTTTTGCAAAACTGTAGCAGCTCAGATGAGCATTAACCCATTGTCTGCTGAACACTGGTCTGCAAGCGCACTCCCAGGGAGCCTGCAGGGTTTGCAATGGAGACCCATCAGAAGAAGCTTTTTGCAAAGAGAACTGCTTTCAGCTTATAAGAGCACAGCTGGATTTTGGTGCATGCTGCCCAGGCACCCCTGCACACACAGCCCCAGGGAGGGAGGAGGGGGGCGGCAGAGAGTGCAGCAGGGACAAAGTGGCTGCCCTGCAGGAAGGGGGAGCAGCAAAGCTCTCAGCACAGCCGGGGGAGGGAGGGATGATCCCCAACACTCTGGCCACTTCCCCTCCCTGCAGGGCAGCCGCTTGGTCTTCGCTCCGTTCTCTTGTGCCCCTGTCCTTCCTGGGGCTGCGTGTGTCTAGGAGCCTGGGCAGGTGCACAGTGAGGGCAGTGAGTGGGAGCCAGCCCCAAAACTTCCCTACAGCCTCCCGGGTTCCCTTATCCCTACCTCCCTGGGTGCGGTGGAGACAGGGCTAAGGAAACCCCATGGGGTGCTGGAGCACACTGCACCCAAGCCTGGGGGAAGCCCTTCACCTTTCTGCAACTGGCAGCAGCCAGGCGGGTTCCCTGACATGGGTCAGCTGACTTGAGTCCCACTAGGCTTACATTGCTGCGTAGACATACCCTAAGATACCTCTTTACACCAAAGTGTAGCTCCTCCTTTTTTGGCATACTTCCCAATGTGAACAGCACAAATGCTGAGACTTTCTGTTGTGAATTCACGACGATAGGAAGAGAGCATTCCCTGAGACACTTGAGGGTTGGGAAGGGAGGGAAATGGCATTAATGGCTTGGCTTATATAGTATCAGAGGGGTAGCTGTGTTTTGTTTTATTTTTGTTTTATAAATGTCATCTATAAAGCATGTAGGCAAGGAATCTTTGTGTGACTGATGGAATTGGTGAATATATTTTCATAGCATGCACATACATACAGACTTGAAATAAATAAAAGGTCGGTGAATGTTTATGCCCATATATCTAATAATTTCAAAGGAATTATATACTGGAGTTCAGTTGGAAAGGAAAGACTCTGAGATTTGTACATTGTATTTGTGCTTCCAAGCACTAGATGGAGTATCTGGTCAATATATACTGAGAAAAGAGCCTTTTGTAAAATTGTAATAGATGTTATTTCTAATGTCCCTTTCTTGTACTGGGCCTTAATGCCATAGTGATACCTTTGTAAATACCAGGATAGTAACTGACTGAAGCATATTCACTGTTGATTTAGTTTCTTTATGGAAAGCAAATTATAGGTCTCCCTGGCCAAATACGTGAAGGGGCTTACTGAGCAATTTTGCCTCCTTTGCTGTCTCACTACCCCAGCAGCAGTCTGATATAACCATTTTAACTAGTCAGTATAGCTTTGTGAAGTAAAAGGTTGAGATGCGACCATTAATGAGTGCATTGTAATTTTGTGTGAATCTTTTACAGATAAGCGAAAGAACATGGCTGCAGGTGGCAGAGTGAACACTCATCACAGATCCGTGCATGTTACAGACATTCCGATAGAGACCACTGTACCCAAACAGGGACAGAACTTATGGTAATCTGCTTTCTCATGGCTGCACTTCTATGCTCATAAACAGACCATTGGGTTCAGTAAAATTTGCTGGACTATTTAGTGTGGTCCCAGAAATGAGGTGTCTCAACTTCATAAGAGACATGGGGTTCTGAACCACCTTGGTGTTTTATAAAGACCAGTATCTAGTATAAAAGGGGGCTGTAGATCATTTCCAGTGGAAACAATTGAAGTGTGGAAAGCTAAATGAACATCTTTAAGGAGTCAAGTATCAGAGGGGTAGCCGTGTTAGTCTGAATCTGTAAAAAGCAACAGAGGGTCCTGTGGCACCTTTAAGACTAACAGAAGTATTGGAGCATAAGCTTTCGTGAGTGAATGCCCACTTCATCAGACACAAGTAATGGAAATTTCCAGAGGCAGGTATAAATCAATATGGAGATAACGAGGTTAGTTCAGTCAGGGAGGGTGAGGTGCTCTGCTAGCAGTTGAGGTGTGAACACCAAGGGAGGAGAAACTGCTTCTGTAGTTGGATAGCCATTCACAGGCTTTGTTTAATCCTGATCTGATGGTGTCAAATTTGCAAATGAACTGGAGCTCAGCAGTTTCTCTTTGGAGTCTGGTCCTGAAGTTTTTTTGCTGTTTTGCTACCTTTACATCTGCTATTGTGTGGCCAGGGAGGTTGAAGTGTTCTCCTACAGGTTTTTGTATATTGCCATTCCTGATATCTGACTTGTGTCCATTTATCCTCTTGCATAGTGATTGTCCAGTCTGGCCAATGTACATAGCAGAGGGGCATTGCTGGCACATGATGGTATATATAACATTGGTGGACGTGCAGGTGAATGAGCCGGTGATGATGTAGCTGATCTGGTTAGGTCCTGTGATGGTGTTGCTGGTGTAGCTATGTGGGCAGAGTTGGCATCAAAGTTTTGTTGCATGGGTTGGTTCCTGAGTTAGAGTTGTTA